GTCTTGGCATGATGATCAGGACCTACAAGGTGGCTCCTAAACGGACAAACAAACAAACAAAAATCACCTCTATAGGATAGGAATTATTTTCTTAATTCTGAAAATACTGAACCATAAAAGGTAGACACAAGGCATGTTATTTTTTTCCTTCTTTGGGTAATGTTTGATATGCACAAAGAATCACATCTCTTGCAATAATTGTGAGGTTCCCCGGTGATCCTTGGCCCCAGGTGCATACACCTGCAAATATTTTTTTAAGGAATTCCTAACCTTCATTAACTACTTCTTTTCTGAAGGGTTCAGTTTTTACATACTCACTGAACCAATATTTATTGTCCGTTATATACTGTGTACTGTGCTAGGAACATCTTGGTCTACACTTTAAAGGAGGTAATAGATGTGCAAGAGATCTGAGAAAGGTCAAATGAAATAAAATCTGTGGGCTTATTCTTCTCTCACTATCCCCAGCATTCTGGTTTGCAATAATCACTTTATCACATTAGATTTTACATTATGTCCAGTAATTAATTTGTCATAAGGGTCATGGCTAAGTTGGGAACTTCCCAGCAGTCTCAACTGATAGTTCTTAGAAAATATACCTCTCGATTTTCATATTCTACCCCCAGACCAACTTTTTCTCTTGAAAAGGCATTTACACATGGGTTTTTCCTGCTTGTGTTTAGATATTTTAATATCTTTCATCAAATGTTGTTTGAGCATGGAATATAAAGAAACCTGAGCTGCCCTGGTGGGCATTATAGTCTTGATGGGTGCCACAAGGCAAGGTGGACTGTAATAAAATGACATTATAAAGACATGATAGAAGAAGCATAAGAGCCCTTGAGGCCTTAAGTTATCAGAGAAAATTCCACAAAAAGGTAGGACTTTAGCTTAGTGTTATGAATAGATTGTGTTTGGTTGGGGAAGGTGCAGGGAAAGGAGATCCTGCTGGAAGGTATACAATGAGCAGGTGTGCAGAAGTGGGAATGAGTGTTATAAGCTCAAAGCACTCAGAGCGACTAGGATGCCAGCCTGGCTGATACAGATTTATGCTGAAGAACACTAGGCAGAAAGTGGCTGGTGATCATGAGGCAAGGCACTGGAGAGCCCTAAGTACCGATGGGGCTGAGGGGTTTGTGCTGGCACTTGCTGAGCAACTGTGGCGGTGGGGGCGGCAAGGGGGGTATATGAGTCATTCCTCATCTGGCACTGAGTAGGGAGACACTAGAAGTGAGGGAGCTGGTTGGAGGCTGCAGAAGAAGGCTCAGAAGATTTGGGAATGATTGGCTATAGGTAGCCAAGGGAGAGAAGAGGAAGGGACACCAATGGATTCCAGAATGTTTGGCCTGAGTGATTGGGAACAACTGGAGGTATCTTGCTCACCAATCAGTCCTTCGTAGAAATCTGCCTTTCAAATGTCTTTCTTCCTTTTCCATTGAAAAATCCCGCCCCCTCTCCCCCGCCGCCCCTCCTGTTAGCTGAAAAATCCCCCCCCCACCCCACCCGCCCCTCCTGTTAGCGGTGGAACCTGATAATAACCACAGTATTTACTCTCTCCTCTTTTCTAATGTTGCTTTCCTACCAAAAGCATAAAACCTCGCCAACTATAAAATGACTCATCTTTGGAGAGTAATCACAATTGGCAAAACAATTTAAAAGTCTTGTCAGCTTCCCACTTCCCCTCTCCCTGCAAATTTTGATCCTATGTCTAGGAATGAAACAACAACTATTTCTAATATCTATGTTTTCTCCCCTGCTTCTGTTGTCAGGCATTAGTTGGTGGTTAAGTTCATGAGTCCTTTTGTCTTAGCTTATTGAATTGAGGTCTAACTGAATTGAGGTTTTCTTTTTAAGTTTATATTAAAAGCAATAATATTCTGCACTTATTATTGCCCTTTGTGTTTTAAAAAGCCCTTTTTGTAATGTTATCCATTTGAACCTTTACTGAACAATCCTATGAAACAAGCTTAGCAGATATTATTAGTCTTCTTTAACAGATGAATAAGCTGAGACTGAGAAATAACATGTTCATTTACGTAGATATGAAGAATCATACCTGGAATTAACACTTGGAATCTGGTTATTTAATCACCTCAACACATCCAGGAGAAAAGAATTCAGAGAACCCTATACCCCCTCCACTTATTAGAATGCTTGGTATGTGAGAGAAGCTTCTTCTTCATGGTCCTAAGAGTCAGCCAGGAACTAGTGGACAGAAGTTACAGGAAAGAAAAGATGTAAACCAAAATGTTTGACATGTATTACATATCCTTTTTTTATAAATTGTATTTCTGTGAAGACCTCGCAAATGAGCCCTGGGCAACCTCTTTAGAATTAATTGATCACTATCGGGAAATTGTATATATCAGTTTTGGACTTCCCTTCTCAGTCTTTTGTAATGAGACAACGATCTCTTTTTATTATCTTTCTGATAAGAAGCCTTCACATTCTCAATCTCTTTTTCTTTACATATATTTGTTTCTGAAACTTTTCTTCATCTGTTTCTTAAATAATATTTATTACTTGATGCTGAGCCCTCCTTCAAGTTGGTTGCTCTTCTTTAGTTATAAAACCCAAACTTGACTATATTCCAGAAAAACCTTGGCCAATTCAACATATAAGAACAATGATCCAATGATCCTATAGTTCAAAACTTATTCCTCCAGGACTACAACAGCTCTTTAAACCACAATGCGAGAATATCTGATGGTCATTTGCTGTGTTGTTTTCCTACCAAATTTGTATGTCACTGTAGCATATTTCCCAATAATCCTCCCTCACTAAATTGTTTTTTTCATCAAAATTGACATACAACATTACATTAGTTTCAGTCGTACGACACCATTTGATATTTGTATATACTGTGAAATCATAGTAAGTCTAGTTAACATCCATCACTGTACATAGTTACAGAATTTTTTTTTTCTTGCGATGAGAACTTTTAAGATCTACTCTCTTGACAACTTTCAAATATGCAATACAGTGTTATTAACTATAGCCGCCATGCCATACATTACATCCTCGGGGCTTACTTACTTTGTAACTAGAAATTTGTACCTCTTGACTACCTTCACCTATTTTGCCCATGCCTTACCTCTGGCAACCACCAATCTGTTCTCTGTATCTATGACCTTGTTTTTTTCTTTAGATTCGATATATAAGTGAGATCATACAGTATTTTTCTTTTTCTAATTTGTCTCACTTAGGATAATGCCCTCGAGGTTCATCCAGGTCATTGTAAAAGGCAATGTTTCATTCTTTTTTATGGCTGAATAATATTCTATTGTTTATATGCCTCAGTTTCTTACCAAATGTTTTTTTAATGGACCATGATTAAAAGGTTTTAATTAGTTGTTAATTGGTTGCTATAGGACACATTTTTTAAACATTAGGAAATACATGGTGCTGTGGACTAGATGTGTTCTCTCTCCCCATCCCAACTTCATTTGTTGAAAACCTAATGCCCAAGGTATTAGAAGGTGGGGCCTTTGGGAGGCACTTAGGTCATGAAGGTTAGTGCCCTTATAAAAGATATCTCAGAGAGCTAACTTGCCTCTGACTATGTGAGAACACAGTGAGAACTCTGCAGCCTGGAAGAAGATCCTCACCCCATCATGCTGGCACTCTGACCTGGATTTCCAGCCTTCAAAACTGTGAGAAATAAATTTCTGTTGTTTATAAGCTACTCAGTCTATGGTATTTTGTTATAGCAGCCCAAATATACTAAGACACATGGTAAAAAGAAAAAGGATATACAATGAAACGCTTTCTTCCAACACCTACCCAGTCATTTACTTTCCTCCCACAGGATCCAACCCAATTTCCTGCTGTTTGGATATTCGTGGAGATAGCCCATGTGCAATTCTTAATACAATTGGCAATGTGCTTTAACACTGCTCTGAATCGTGTTTTCAAATTAAATAATATACTTTGAGGATCTTTTCACATTGGTCCACACAGATCTCCCTCATTCTATTTTATGACTGAACAGTATTCCTCTGAGTGGATGTATCATAATATATTCAAAACCCTTCTGAATACTGATTTCATTCTCCAAAATATCTTCTACCAGCTGAAGACTGTCAAAGACTCACTGTTGTACTTCATCTTCATTTTATACCTGTTTGCCAAGTACTTACAGCATTGTGCTTGGTGCCACAGGGAATGCACAAAGCTGTAAGTTTGGCATCCTCTGCTCTCTAGGAAACTACAGCCTCGTCAGGGAGAAAAGATATGGAGACGAGGGAGAACTTCTTGATTGCAGTTCAATCCTCCCACAAATTTCCTTTGTTTTCTTGCTAATGGCCTTGTATCTGGTACAAATGACCTTTCTACTTGTTGGATGTGCATATATGATTGTTTGTGAGCCTGATATGGCTTATACGGGGAGCCTCTAGAGCAGGGATCGAAAACTCAAATGCCTACAGGGGCCAGGACGGAGACCTAAGTGAGCAAAGTGAAGCAAATGAAGTGAGCCAATTGAGAGAGCACAAGCTCTGTTTAAAGGGAGCAGCCAACTGCTACTCTGTTCCAGGAAATTCCTCCTTGTGGGTTGACAGATCTAATAGATTAAAAGGAATCTATGGGTAAAAGGTACATGGGATCTTTCTGTTTTATTTCTTACAATCTGATGTGAATCTACAATTATCTCAAAATTAAAAGTTTAATTTAAAACATAAGTCAGAAATCTGGATCATTGTGTGAAATTACCTGATTTATAAATGTAGGCAAAATTTCAATATTGTGCAATCCCAATGTCTGTCAACCAGATATCGCCCAGGACCCCCATTTTGCTATCTGCACAGGTTATGTGTTATGTGCTGTTGATTTGGCTCTTGCTCCTGGCGACCTGTGCATAGCTGGAGCATTATAATTTGATTTGTATGAAGCCTGTGGCAGCCCAGTCCATGAGTTTGCTTGATAGGTGCTTCTTGTTACTGTGATTTCCATCATTGACAGTGGCCATGTTCACTTACTTGTTGAATTTCTTCTCATTCCAGGTCCTTGGATGTGGCTCTGTTGCCCAAGCTGTCCTCAGTCGAGGGCATTTTGGAGGAATCGTCACTATGAATGTTGGATTTGCAATGTCAGTCGTAATGGCTATCTATGCGACTGGAGGTGTCTCTGGTAAGTAATAAAAATATAACAGCTACTATTAAGCATTTCAATGTGCTAGCACAGTCCTGGGTGCTTTATACACCTTCATTTGTTTAGATCCTGCAAGAATATGTATTTGATTCTATTTTTAGAGATGATAACATTAAAATAGCTAGCAAATGGCAAGTGACTTGTGCCAAGGCAACATTTAGCAAGAGACAGAGATAGGACTTAGAACTCAGAACTGACTGATTCTTAAATCTGGCCACTGAGTCATATTCTTCATCTGTCGATACAATTTTTTACTTGCTTGTAACCATTTGCCAGGTACCCTGTGAGTAGCCCAGTGAAGACTGCCACTCCAACAGAGAGGCAAGTCCTGGACCTTGATCCATAGCGGTCAGAAAGAGTCTAAGTCACTTAACGAAATGTCTGGTGCTTTCACAGAAGTGCAAGCATGATCCAGAAGGTCTTGGTTTAATTCTGCCCTGAGTGGTGGGCTGATTAGAAGCAATTTCCAAGGTTCAAGAAGCAAAATGAAATGCTGTTTAATGTAGCCTGGGAACTTAGGAAGGGACTGTGAAAACGATCCAGTTCCCAAAGGCTCCTGGAATCTTTCAGCAGCCTGGTCTGGGTGTTCAGAGCACTAAGATTGCTGGTGATAAGGGAGGATTGGGAACCTCTGTATGCTGGGCACTGTGCTGGCTGCTGTACGTACTTTAGCTCCTCTCTCTCTAGCAGGACCGTGATGAGTGCTAGTGTCTCCATTCTACAGAGACAACTCCAGCTCTGAGGGATTAAGTTAATTTCTGCAAGTCCCATAGCTGGTAAAGAGGCAGACTAAAGATTTGACCCAGGTCTACATGACAGCGAATCTCGTGTCCCTATTATTATACAACATTTCCAATGGCCTATTACAGGAAAGGCATTACAGGCAGGGCTTGCAGTTAAGCCAGCTGGTCTGATGACAAGTGCTGTCATTGGAGCACAGAAGAATGACTGCTTAGACTCTCTGGGAGGTTCCTTGGGCTGGGAACCTAGAACAGTCGTTTGCTGTCTGGCACCTTTTTAATAGCACAGTCAGACTCAGATCCTGGGGCAATCCAGGTTAACATTCCTGTATATGTAATTTGTTTGAGATGAGCAGTGTTTCTTTTCAAACTCCTGCCAAGCCTTTGCTGTGATCCCAGTACTGTGCTGCTTACCTAAGGCACAAGAATGAGCAGGGAATCACCCTGAATTTGCCAAGGCTTAATTACAGTGCAGGCCTCAACACCAGACACAGATGAATTAGAAGCATACAGGATATTCCACCGCCACCCCATACATTCACACAAGTGGAGTTTCTACAAACTGCTATATAAATGTGGGCACGTTCTCAGCTAGTTTGTTTTGTTTTGTTTTGTTTTGTTTGCTTTGTTTAGGTGGAAATGTGGGATGTGGTTTTGGAGTGTTTTGCTTATATAACACCCTGAATCGAATATCATCAAATGTTTACTTTAGGATTAATTGGTCTCAGATGCGACCCGTGTAACTAACACCCTTTACCACCACCGCTGTCCACATCTTTTTGCATCCACTGATATACTTGAGAATTCTAGTAGTGACCATAGGAGGAAAAAGGGTAGGAACCGGCAGGAAGGGGAAAAGGAAGTGAAATTAGTATGGAATCTTCCCATCTGGCCCCTGAACTAGGGTTAAGCCCCTGCACTTAGAGGGGTGAAGGCCAGAACTGATGGGACTCTTTTCACTAGAATCATTTCTAGGTAAGGGTTAGGAGCTGGCCAAATTTTTTATGAGAGATATCCCAAAATTCAAGCAGAACAGCCTCTGAGCCTGGCTCATAAAAGGTAGTACTGAGTTGGAAAGGGAACTTATTTCCCTCTCTCTTTTTGGAACCCAGCACTGTTCAGGCTTCTGGGCTGGTGGCTCTGGAAATGTGCACAGACAACACATTGTCCCATCAATGACATCCATGCAGACTCAGTATTGGCTTCAACAGCCGCAGGAACAGGAGAGGAAGATTGTGTGAGGGAGGTGACTGTCTCATGGTGGCTACAGCTAACATAATGGTTTGTGGGCACCTGTGAGGCCCTCTTTGAAGATTCCAAAAATAACCAATGTATATTGGGCACACACATAAATGAGATCCTATTGTGTGGTCACAGACTGGTAAGGTGAGCGACATTCCAGTTTTGAAACATAAAACATTACCTTACTGCTTCCCTTGTGAACATGCCAGTTCTGGCAACCCAGTCGGGCCAGTCAGAACCCATAACGCCCTCATTATGCAGTGTCTCCCACCGAGCATTACACTGCCTGCTTGTACTTAGGCTATGGTGGTTGTTTCTGATGTAGCATTCTATAAGTAATATAAATTCAGTGAAAAAGCAAAATCGATTTGCTTAATGACAAGGCATTAAGATTAGAATTGTCTGTGGGTGGCGGGGAGGAGGGGACTTGTCTAGAGCAGAACCGTGAAAGAGTTCAGCCTGTTCACCTAAGTTTTTTCATCTCAGACCTCATGAGCTCCAGCTGCCCCTCGGGGCTCTTTGTGTGAATAATCTGATCATCACAACAAAGTGGCAGGACCAGACTTTAGTGCAGCACTCTCTGGCTCTAGCACTTATGTTCTTTCTACTACACTGCTCTGCCTTGTCCTTCGGGTAAGCCAGAGTGGCCACTCATCTCTGCAAGGAGAAATTTGCCTCATTGCTTAGCAAAACTCCCTCCCAGACACATCCTCTCTGACCACCAAACAACTTTCCCTCTCTATAGATCATTGTAGTCCGAGCTATCTAGATAAAGGCCTCTGACTATTTAGTTCTTCAACTTTCATATCTTAAACACCTACTAAGTGCCTTGTACCATACGAAGTCCAGGGTGACTAATAGTACCTGCCTCTGGGTGGTTATGAGAAGTGAAAAAGCATAAACCTACCTATGGGAAGTTTTATTTTGGAAGAGGAGCTTGCTAAATAACTCCCATTCATGGACTCATCTGAGGGAAGGTACTTTTTTTGACTGGAGGTGATTTCTTATGTCCCCTTGTCCTTTCACAATGGGTCCTTCCCGCCTGGCTACCTGGCAGCTACCTAACCAGCCTGTGGGAGAAGGAGAACAGGGCCGGCTTCAGGAACTTCCCACTGCCCTGTGTGTTCCCTTCTCCTAAGCCCTGTTTCTAGTTTTTCTAGTAGGCTGTGCTGCTAGTCTCCAGAATTATGACTCTATTGGATTTAAAAGTAAAGCAAGGCAGTTGATATAATTCTTCAGGAAAACTGTGCTTTTAATATTTGCATTTTCTTGCTCTTATTAGCCCCTAAGTGGCAGAGGCAGGTGTAGAAAGGACCTTTGTGGTTTTGCCAGCAGCCAGAACTCCTCCCTGCTGCAAATCCACTTTGGCTTAGAGACTCGGGAAAAGCATAGTTTTCTTCAGAGCAGGGAGCTTCCAAATACAAACTCACCTATAAGTTCTGTGGAGGGTCAGATGTAAAGTGTCATCACCATCATCATCATCACTCATTGGTTTACGGCTATTTCTACAATCCAGAAATCCACATTTCAATGCGGTCATATTGACAGTAACTCTAATCTTCCCTCTACATAAAATCTCACCTATAGTCTTCAAAGGAACATCATTTGTCCCTAAGAAGTGAGCCAAATACTCAAAGATGATTTTTGAAAATTTTTTTTTTCCTGCCCAGTACAGCAGAGAAGCTTTATAAACTTGGTAAAAACTCTGTAAGTGGTTTAGAACATAGGATCTAGAGTTCAGATAAACCCAGATTTGAATTCTAGTTCCACCACTTTAACCATATGGCCTTAACAAACTTACTTTAGTTCCGTGCCTCAGTTTCCTCACCAGTTAACTGAAGTAGTATTCATCTCACTGAGATCTTATGAAGATCAAGTGTGTGTAATACTCCTATGATAGCATCCAGCAAGTTTTCAATAAGTGTTGTTACTAGCAAAGCCAGCTGATGATATTAGTGACTTAGTACAGAGCAAACTCTCCACCTGATCTTCTGTCTAGATGAGAATCAAGAAAGCCGATTTCTCTAGCCATAATGTAGGTTGGGGTGACAGAAATGTTGCTACATTTCTGGGTGTAAGAGAAATATATTATTCTTGCAGAGGAACTATGGAGAATCCCCTCAGACACTGTGATCACCTCAAAATAAACTGAGCCCCTTACTTCAATAAGAGGCCCACCAACCAAGGGTCATTTTTCCTTAAAGAGATGTCTCTTTTCAGTGCGAAGATCGCTGTTATATCCTCTGGATGTGGACTGAGGAATTGCTAGATATAGACTTAAACCTTATAAGGGTATTGACTTTTTAAAAATATGTTCAAGTTAACAGTTTACATCAATTGCTTTGAGATTATTGCTTCATAGTTAGAACCCAGTAGATGATAGAGAGAGAGAGAGAGAGAGAGGGAGGGAGAGAGAGAGAGAGAGTTAGTTTTAAGATGAAGGGATTCCTGACCACAAAGAAAGACAGTTCTCCTAAATAGATGCTTTACATAAGGGTGCATTAAAGAATATTCATAACCTCAAAGTACCAAAAAGACTGGGGACTTAGTCCAGTATGTGTGTGATATATGACTGTTGTCCAACTCTTCTACCTGCGGAAGGAAGGAAGGAAGGAAGGAAGGAAGGAAGGAAGGAAGGAAGGAAGGAAGGAAGGAAGACTGAGTTCTGCCCAAGGTCTCTAGATAAGGGTTTTTTTTTTTTCATAATAATTCTTCCTGACCTGCCCTGTGACATTCCTAATCTTATCTTCATTGCAGGTGGCCACATCAATCCAGCTGTGTCTTTTGCAATGTGTCTTTTTGGACGAATGAAATGGTTCAAATTACCTTTTTATGTGGGAGCCCAGTTCTTAGGTGCCTTTGTAGGGGCAGCAACCCTCTTCGGCATTTACTATGGTGAGTAAGACCCCTGGGTCCAGAGGTTAGGGAAAGCTGGACATAATTTGAAAGTCAGAATTACTTGGTAGGAAGAGATGAGATAAGGCAAGAACAGGAAGCTGTGACAATTGTCAAGAGATTGTAAGAGTTTCCGGTTCTATATAGTGGGGCCAAAACTATCATTAGGGCAAATTCATGAAGCCTCTTAATGAAAATGGTCACAACTTAAAAGGGGAAAGAATTTAAAGGAAGCCTATATTTAAGCCCAACCGGTGCTACAATGTGAATGTGCACAAAATAAGTAATAGGCTGGTGGCTTCTTTATGGGTTTCTCTGATTTGGCTGGGAGAGGAGGTGTTGACTGGTGGCGAAGGGTATGAGAAGTATTTAAAGAAGAAATCTGGAGTGAAGTCTTTGAGGAAGGGGCACAGCCGAGAAATGGGCTCAGTGAGGAACCGCTCCCCAATCCCCAACAGCCAGGGCTTCTGTTCTGCAAAAGAACAGAAGGACAGACACAATACTGATGATTGAAGACCCAGATTCTAGTTCTTTGAACTAATTAAGTACGTATGTGACTTAAATAAGTCACTTGACCTTACTGGTCTCAATTTCCTCCTGAAAAAATGAGAGAACCTGTAGTAGGAGAGACCTGGGGTCAGTGCTGGCTGTGTGGTGACTGCTGTCTTGAGGGCAAACTCACTGTTCCACAATGCCCCAAATCGTGGACTGGTATCAGCGGTTACTGAGAACACTCTGGGAATTGTGAATTCTGCTTAGAGTAGTTCTCAAGTTCCACTTTGGCTTTTGGTCAACCTCAAAAATTCCAACAATTTCTCACAAAAAAGATTGGTTTCCAGGACCCACAAGCTAAGGAGTCGGCTCAAGTTCAGAGTGAACCGTGAAGGGCAGCCAGGGCTTTCTATCCTTGACCTACAATCCTGTGACTTCCGGGCATTTCTTAAACTACCGTACTTTAAAGTGAAGAAAGGCAAACAATATTGATCTGCCAAACTGAACCTGAGTGTTTGACTGCAGTTGGTTAGCACAAGAGCTGGCATAAGCCTTCCTCATTCCTGCCCAGAGAACACTAATGTGCCAAAGCTGTCTTCCACAGATGGACTCATGTCCTTTGCTGGTGGAAAACTGCTCATCGTGGGGGAGAATGCAACAGCACAGATTTTCGCAACATACCCCTCTCCATACCTGTCTCTGGAGAACGCATTTGCAGACCAAGTAAGTGTACATTCAGAAGGCCTGACTTTGGTGAAAAGACATGATTTCTTAATGGGACTGCATGGGAGCAGCATAGACCTATCAGAAAGGAAAGGCTGTGTTTCCAAAGTCAGAGATCACTGGGCATCACCAAAAGCTTTCTCAACAAATTTTTGCCTTTGTCAAAGTCGATACCGTTAAAAGAGTTTGCTGCTTCCTCTTTAAATTATTCACATCAGTTGAAGTCCAGAAAAGAGTGGATGACAGGACATTTCAACCCCTGCAGGGGCAAATGGGGTCTGCCTCGCTGTTATGTCTCTTTTGTGCACATGATCTAAGTGTGTAGGCTACAAGAAAAGACATTGTGATCTCAATTCAAGGACTGTGAAGTGTGGTAGTTGAGCTTTAGGCTATCACAGATCCTCTGTGTCTGCCCATGTGCACAGGTTCATCTAAACCCTCAAGGTATCTCAAAGTGCCAAAGTGTCTCTGGCTTATTGACATTTAAACAAGCTGCATCCAATCTGCATTTGAATAGACCCATGCAGTTCAAACCCATGTTGTGCAAGGGTTGACTTTAATGGTTAAGCGAGCATATTTACTTTATGATTTTTCCATATTTTATATTATTTACATGATATTGTTCTCAAATATCCAATGGGGTCAAATTGAAAGATTACTTTGGTGGAGTTTTTTAAAAATGCATATTTCTAAATTACTGCTGCGTTTCTTTTCCAAAATGTGGTACATGTTTAGTTCTACTAGAAAAGCCTGAGAAAACTGGTATCGTTTCTCTAATATTTGGTATTGTTTGCAGTTTCCATTACAAATCAGTTTTTTTCCACTTGCTTGTTTCTTAACTTTACTTTTCTCTTATGAATTTTCTGTTTATTTCCTTTGAGCATTTGCCCATTGATGTATCGCATAGTTTGTCGCGCAAATTTGAATGAGCTTCTTCATTCATTCTTCCAGCCTGAAGTCTGTGTTTCTCTGTTTAGCTACGTTTCTGTTTAGCAGGATAATGTCGTAAAGATAGTCTCTAGAGCTGAACTCTGGGTCCACACTTAACTGCCACTGACTAATCTGTAAAAGAGAGTAATATTAGCACCCACGTCTAGGATCGATGCGAGAAGAGCATCTGGCATGGTGTGCTCACCCAATGTATGTTAGTTATTACGAGAGGGGGTGAATTTTGAGGTGGACAAGTGGGCCAAATATAAGCTAAACCCCTTGTACGATTTCTCCTTCCTCAGGTCGTGGCCACCATGTTCCTCCTCATGTTGGTCTTTGCCATCTTTGACTCCAGAAACTTGGGAGTTCCCAAAGGCCTAGAGCCCATTGTCATCGGCCTCCTGATTATTGTCATTTCCTCCTCTTTGGGACTGAACAGTGGCTGTGCCATGAACCCAGCTCGAGACCTGAGTCCCAGACTTTTCACCGCGTTAGCAGGATGGGGGTTTGAGGTCTTCACGTAAGTAATGATGGTGGTGGGGAAAGAAAAGATTTATGCTGTGTTTTATCAAAGAGAGCTGTGTTCTGAGTTGGGATCCAAGAGAATACAGATGGGAGGGTGGAGGTCAAGTGCAAACCCTGGTCATGAATGTGGAATGTTTCACTGGTGATTTGTGCTATGGTGGGGCGTTGTGTGTGTGACAGACACAAAGGAAGGGAACTAAGAATACAATGAATTTTCTAGAACAGTGATTTTCAATCAGAGGCAGTTTTACCCTCAAGGACATTTGGCAACATCTGGAGACATTTTTGGTTGTTACAACTGGAGGGGGTGGAGGAAGAAGTTGTCACTGGCATCTAGTTGGTAGAGGCCAAGAGGCTAGGATACGAAGATACTGTTAAGAATTCTACAATACCCAGCACAGACCCCCACAACAAAGAATTATATGGCCAAAAATATCAAGAGTGCCACAGTTAAGGAGCTCTGTTCCAGAATGATCACCACTAGAACATGAGAGGGTTGAACAAAATGTCCCCAGCAGGAAAAGATCCTTTGTATTCTTCCAATGGAGAATCAAAACAAATCCTACAGATATTCTCATTCCTAGAGCCCAGAATTAGTTCATGAGTTTCCTTCAATCCCACGTTCTTGAGCTTCACTCTAAGAGATCACTGCTTACATCAGCAAGTCACCTATGTTAGCTGCACACAGACCCCTAGAACAAAGATGCCCCAAGGTGATCTGGCCTCCCTTTGAGCCTTCTTGGTGATACACTCAAAGGTCTATGAGTGATGGTGGTTCTAAAATAGGTAGAGATCTTGCCTGTTCTTTCTTTGCTTTGCTAAGTACATGGTAGGAGACCACGTCTGTGGGAGAATGCTGAATCACCTAACACCAAACTCTGAGCTCCATATTCCTTGTTAGCATCAGGGTCTTCTCCTTTATTCATCCATCCAAGAGACTGAATACCTGATCTCTAATTCAAGGCCCCGTACTAATGATGGTAAGGCCCAGTTGTTCCCTTTTATGGTGTTATGTTCTGTTTCACAGGGGGTTATCACAGGCACTTACACAAGGTTTAAGCTAACAAGTGCCATGAAGGAGATCTGACTAATTCCAGGAGTTGAGAGAAGTTTTGCAGCTCCAATTTTAGGAATTATGGGAGGTGGAGCTACGGGCATTTTGTCGTATCTGAACATGCTTAAATGGAGGACAGAAAGAATATTTCAATCAGGCAGAATGCTAAAACAATAAGTAACCCGGTCTAGCTGTAAGGCACATGAAGAAGGCCGGAAAGGGCAATTGATGATCATAGAGGTCGGTCCTAGACTCCCAGAATGAAAATTTTGGATTTGTGCTGCTCCCTGTTCTGTAGGTTATGGGAAGCAGTAAAGGATTTAGGGTAGAAGTATGGCATGTTTAGAACTTCAATTTAGCAAAATTAATCTGATATCATTATATTAAATGGATTAAAAAGGAGAGAGTAGAGGGGACAGAAACCAGTTAGGGAAGAGGTAGGCTGGCTGATAATACTCAACCAAAAAGTTCTCAAGAAATCTTTTGAGGGACAGCAGGTCTCCAAAGTGTCCCGAAAGTCCCCACAACCTCTGGCTATGGAAACCCGTGGAGACTGCGGCTGAGTGATACAGAGGGCTGCGGGAGTCACAGACATTCCTCTTAAAGGGCCATGCGCGGACTTACTTGTTGACGGACTCACTCACTCTGAGCTCCAGTGCTGGGGCAGCTGCTCGAGGAGTGCCAGGGACGTCCAGGGAGGCACTGAGTTGTTGAGCTTCAGCGCGAGGGTTGGAAGGGCAGCTTTCTCCTGGACAGAAGTGTTTGCAGAATGCGTTGTTACTTCGTTGAGCCCTCCCCACTCCCAGCCTGCAGACGGATGCAGGCACCACCATATCTGACTCGCCATCAACCTGGATAACACAGGTCTCCACCCAGGTAATTCCCCAAGACTCTGCCTCCCCCAACTTATGGGCCAACCCAAGCCACTTTCACTGGTTCATTCCATATAAATGTCCTGTCTTGGCTTTTGCTGCGGACTTTCCTAAAATCTCTCAAAGGCTCACAAAACCCAAAGCAGCAACATATGGCTTTGGCATGCTCTGTACTTTTTGCTGAGCAACCCCAAGCCCCGCACTAGCGGCAGCCTGCCTCAGTTTCTAGCTTGGCCTCTCGAGGCACCTACAAGCCCAGCATAGGTGGTAGCCATCTGTGGATTGCTTGGTGACTTTTACCAGGTGGCCCTGGAGGTACACAGGCTGTGGCTGAACTTGGCCTTCAGCTGGATGCCTCCTAGGACTATGCCACTGGGCCCCACAGGACACCTACTACATAAAGCTACTCTACTAAGACCAGGAGACTTAGAAGTCCTACCTAATACATAGAAACAGACACAGGGAGGCAGCCAAAATGAGGAGACAAAGAGAAGTATGTCCCACAAGAAAGAACAGAACAAAGCTCCAGAAAAAGAACTCATCAAAATGGAGACAATCAATCTATCAAATGCAGAGTTCAAAACACTGGTTATAAGGATGCTCAATTAACTTAGAGGAAGAATAGATGAACTCAATGAGAACTTTAACAAAGAAATGGAAAACATAAAAATGGATATGGAAAACATAATAGGGAACCAGTCAGAAATGAAGGATACGATATCTGAAATGAAGAGTACATCAGAGGGAATCAATAGAGTGGATGAAGCGGAGGATCAAATCACCAATATAGAGGACACCCAATCAGAATGGCAACGAGAAAAAAGAATCCAAAAAAATAGATAGTTTAAGGAGCCTCTGGGACAACATCAAGCATAACGACATTGACATCATAGGGGTACCAGAAGAAGAGAGAGGGCAAGAAATTGAAAACCTATTTGAAGAAATAATGATGGAAAACTTCTCTAATCTGGTGAAAGAAATAGACATACAACCGCAGGAAGTTCAGAGAGTGCCAAACAAAATGAACTCAAAGAGGCCCACACCAAGACACATCATAATTAAAATGCCAAAGATTTCATACAAAGAGAGAATCTTAAAAGCAGCAAGAGAAAAGCAATTAGTTACCTACAAGGGAACACCCATAAGACTCACCTGATTTCTCAACAGAAACTTCACAGGCCAGAAGGGCTTGGCACAAAATATTCAAAGTGATGGAAACCCTGGACCTACAACCAAGATTACTCAGCAGAGCTATCATTTAGAATCAAAGGGATAAATCAGGAGCTTCTCAGAGAAGGAAGAGCTAAAGGAGTTCATTACCACTAAGCAAGCCAGTATTATAGGAAATGTTGGAGGGACTTCTTTAAGAAGAAAAAAAAATGTACCAAAAATATGAATAAAGAAAGGCAAGAATAACATATCTATCAACAAGTACTTCAAATGAAAAAGAATTAAATGCTCAAATCAAAGGATAGCATTGCTGAATGGATAAAAAAAGATGAAAAATATGAGTAATAAATAAAATGGCAATAACTACATATCTATCAAAGAATACTTTGAATGTAAATAGATTAGGTACTCCAATTAAAAGATAGGGTGGCTGAATGTATAAGAAAATAAGACCCTTAAATATGCTGACTACAAGAGACTCACTTCAGCTTAAAAGACACATACAGACTGAAAGTAAAGGGATGGAAAAAAGATATTTTATGATAGACCTAGAGGGTATTGTGCTGAGTGTAAGTCAGAGAAAGATAAATGCCATATGATTCCACATACATGTGGAATCTAAAGAACAAAATAACAACAAAAACAAACATACAAACTCATAGATACAGAGAACATTTTGAGGGTTACCAGATGAGAGGGAGGTTGAGAGGGCAGGTGAAAAAGGGGGAAAGAATTAAGTATAAATTGGTAGTTACAAAATAGTCATGGAAATATAAAAAGTATAGCATAAGGAAGATAGTCAATAATATTGTAATTACTATGTAAGTTACCAGGGGCATACTAGTTATATCGAGGTACTCACACTGTGAGTTATACAGATGTCCATTCACTATGTTGTACACCTGAAGCTAATATAATGTGGTATGCCAACTATAATTGAACATTTTTTTAATTATTAAAAAAGATGTTACTGACTTAATAGATGATGGATCTCAAGGGTAGTGCTAATTTTTTAAAAGTTTACCCAAAGGAATGAATTCCTGATGATGGTACTTCAAGCAATTAATACATTTTCCTGGCATCCCCCAAATCATAGCGTGCAAATGACCCTGTGTACACGTAAGACTGGGCCAGGCAGGGAACCACATCTGAGCTCCTTCTTTGATGACTTGTGACCCTGGCACAAGATATTCAGCTCTGATGGAAGGAGGACGGGTTCATCCAGGGAAAGGAGAACCTGTGTCCTGGCAGATATCTTGGACCCTAATCTGATAAATGGCAGTGAAAGATAACACCACAAAATGGTGATGGAAGAAAGGACATGGTGGGCCAAACAATGTGGCTTATGCTTACTTCATGTGCTTCTTGAAGAGGAGGCTCTTAGCTCTTTAAAGCCCATGTGCCTCTCACAGACACTTCTATCTAGATTTGGGGGTGTGGGAAAGGGCGCTGCAAGAACAGAAGGCGGGGTCCTCTCTCCCATGTAGTCAGAGTGACATCTAGTGGATGCTATGTTCAATCTCAGTGCTCTTCCCTCAAGCCTGTATCTAGGCTCTTTGAGTGCTGGGATGATCCAAGTGAAAGAGACCACCATGCAGAAGGAAGAACGAAGCTCAGAGAGGGGGAAACTTGCCCACAGACCTTCTAGACAATCCTGAGATTAGAACCAGGTCCATGAATCCTAGGACGGTCCTCTTGTTTTGTGCTTATTTCTTTTTTTTATCCTTTCTTATTTTTTTTCTTATCAAAATTTGATACAAAACAAAAGGCCCTGAAAAACATGCGTATAGTTATTAAGCATAGCAGTAAAAAGCACGCCATGAGGCCTTCCCTTAAACAGAACACTGTGGAATCCTCGTGTATGCATACCAGTGTGCCCCTCCTTTTCCCCCTGCTTCCTCCGCTGTGCCTTGAATTTTTTTCAGGTTCACCATAACCCTGCTTTAAAAGTTTGTCTCAAATGTATATATCTTCAAACAGTATATTGTACATTTTGCTTGCTTTTGAGAATGAATGGCCCTTTCTACTGACTTATTTAAATGGATTTCTTGTCTCCAAAAAAGATGGTGACAATTCACAAAAGTAGTTGCTTTCTCTCAGAATTATACCTTTGACATTGAGGATTTCTGGAGGGGATTGAGATTCACAGCACAATAGCCTTTTCAGAGAGTAACTCTGAGCTGTGACCTCAAAAAATAAGTAATGAGTTAAATTATATTTAGTAGGTAACTCATATTCTACATTTGATTTTTTAATTCATTTATTTGTTAGCAAACATTTCCTGATCGTTTATTTTTCGATTGCCCTCCCAGACCAATGATGTTAGGAATCTCTCCACATTTTACCATTCACAATCCTCAGGACTCATTTTTTCAGGATGAGGGAAAGGCAGTTCCTGAATAATCAGCCTGAACTTCCCCTAGATTCTCTCAATTTTGATCGTGGGTTCAGGGACAATATTTTCTGAAAGGAAAATAAACGGGACATATTCTCTCAAAAGTACTAATAGGACAATGGAATGGATCATGTGACATGGGGTGTATTGGAAAATCTAGGATGCTGATTGCCAAGTTATAGTGAATTCCCTTATACTTAGCTCTTGCCTAGTTAAAAGGGAGCCATAAGCATGAGAAAGACTAGCTGGTTAATGAATAACTAGCAGTAATACCAGGAGGAAGGCCAAGTGATGTATCACTAATTTCTTGTTTGATTTCAGAACTGGAAAAAACTTCTGGTGGATACCTGTAGTGGGCCCTTTGGTTGGCGCTGCCATCGGAGGCCTTGTCTATGTTCTTATCATTGAAATCCACCACCCAGACCCAGACCTCGAGGCAGAACCACCTGAGGACAAACCAGAGAAATGTGAACTTAGTGTGATAATGTAGTAGCATGCTACTACATGCTACTGGGTTTATAATTGGCTGAGCCGGCGTTCTCTTCAGGAAAGATGGCATTCAGGTATCTGCATTTTCACAAGACTAGCTGTGTTTGTGGAACACTTAATTGGAAGAAGCACCTGAGTGAAGTTTTGAAAACACTGACCTCTTCTCTCCCATTTTCCAGAATAGCATGGCCTGTCTCCTGAATGAAACAGCCTTCTCTCTTGCCCTGTTAATTTAATCCTTTGATGGGAATTGTTATTACTGGATAAGCACTATTAACTTGGATCCTTGACCATGAACTTATTTGGATGGTTTCAAATGCATTGCCTATATGAAATAGTATCACCAAAACCCTTATTTTCAAACCCACTAAGGTTATGTTCTGAATATCAACCAAAACTAAATTAAAAGACAAAACAGTGGTTTCAGTTAACATGTCCATGTTAACACAGTTAACCCATTAGTGAACTAATGGGTTAACTGTGTTAATATAATTGTACCAGTATTGATATTCTCCAAACCTAGGGGTGTCGGATGCAGCAAAATGCAGCTGGAAAGCTCAGGAGGACATTGTGGCATTCAGAAACCTCAGGAAACAAAATAAAATTTGGGACACCAAATGGAATTTTTTCAAAAGTGGAAATCATTTATTAGATTAATCCTTTGGTCTTCGCATTTTTAGAGGACATCAGTTAATTTCCTGGTCTTTAGTATATAATAACTTACAATACAATCATAACCTCAGTTGTGAAAAATACATCGCTCTGTATTTTTAGCTCTAATGTATTTTCCTAATTGCCTACTTGAGGCCAGATATTTGACAAGTTAGTGACTACACTCATTCATTATTCTATACATGCCCTATAAGCCAAAACTGAAAGCCATTGGCTCCTGGTCTAGTATAACCTTTAGAATGGGAAGTCCCTGGAAAGATAATACACCTATTGGGCTTTACAATTCACAAAACACTTTCACATAATATCTAATTTAATCCTCAGAGTGACTGTCTGAGGTATATACTATGCTGCTCATTTTTCAGATAAGGAAACAAAACCTCAGGGAATTTAAGTGAGTCGCCTAAGATCATGTAGAAAGTTGAACACATGTATCCTACACCTTTCAGAAGATTAATATCTGGCTGAGACTCTTGATCAGCCCTTCCTGGCTGGCCATAAGAAGTGGGATTGGCAGCTGTCATAATGTGTACACCTTCTGGACATAATTCTCTTGGATCTTAAGATACAAAGACCTTCACTGTCTGGTTTTATTACCATGGTTACTGAAGCATTAATAAAGGGAAGAGGTAGCGATTTGATCATTTTTTTCTCCTGAAAACATTATCAGAAGGCTTCCTTTTCTAGGTTACCCTTGGTCTAGCTAAGTTTTGCTCTTTCCTCACTGCCAATCTCAAGCATTATATTCCTCGAATTGGTGTCACTTTAGTCAAAAGAGTCTCTACGAGTTACAAGCACCAGAGAAATTGCTACATCCAGTGATTCACCTTCGGTCAAACTGTTAGAAAGCCCAGAATTTCCCAACTGCTTTGTGATGATAACAGAACAGCAAAAAGTGAATGTGAAATATCTCTAGTGACCTGTGTTCTGTAATCTATTGACTGATATGTGGAATTATTTTCCTGCTATAAAACTACCTGGATATTGCTGATTTGAAATAAAATCTTTTGTTTGAGTTTTTATAAGTATTAAGACTGCTAAGTACACTTAACTGAGAGGTTGTCTATCTTTTTTTACAAATTGGGAGCCTTTGAAAAATGCCAATGCCCAGTTGGTCATTTGTAAATATCTCGGGTGATTTTAATGTGCAGCCAGGGTGGAGCACATCGACTTGGTTAAATTAAATGGGTGTAAAGTTTCTTTGAGAACCAAGTCTAGTGGTGGCCGGGTAATCCTGGTTGGAGTCTCAGTCTTGGGATAGGATTCTCATGGATTAGAGAGCAGTGGTTCCCAATAAGGGGCAGTTGTGCTCCCTTCACACTCCTACCCACCACACTAGCATTTTTGGTTGTGACTGGGGAGGGAGTGTCACTGGCATTTGGTAGGTAGAGGTCAGGGATGCTGCTAAATATCCTACAATGTGAAAGACAGACCCCTCCCCCACAATAATTATTCAGCTCAAAACGCCTATAGTGCAGAGGTTGCGAGACCCTGGATTCAAGAAGAGATGAGAGGAGTAAGAAGACGTTGAAATCCTATGCCCTGATTCAAGTTCTGCCAAAAACAGATGCCAAACAAGTCAGGAACAGCTCCTGGGGGTGAACTATAATTGTTAGAGGATGAGGCAACCCAAAATTTGAGTTTCAGGTTAGATTGTGGAATCTATGATCCATGCAGGTGTTCATTACACACTACTTTGTGATTAATGACTAGGATTATGAAGAGGAAATATATAGTTATGGAAATCAACCCCAGGAAGGTTTTTTTAAACAGGAAAAACCTTGTTCCAGGTGCTCACACTCAAGTCCCCTCTCCCCCTGCTTACAAGTGGGTTTGCTCGTTTCAGTTTCTTACCCAATAGAACGTCTACACGGTTAAAGGATCCATATCAGAAGTCAGTAGAGTCAACTAACACATTTATTAAACAGATCTTTTAGGAGCTAGACTTGCGACACCCTTCCCCATCCTAATCAATCCCAAAACTTAATAGAAGCATTTATTTTGATGCCAAAATAGAATTTGATTCCCCAATCAGTTGAGAGCTCAGAGCCTGTCAAGGGTTGTAGGAATTTTCTAACCAGTAAGAGCCAGAGTTAATATTCAGCTTTTGAACAAGGTAAGTGGAATAAAAATGTCACATTTTAAAATCCGATCCTTAAGATTTAAATTATTTCTTTTAAATCGTTTTCGCACATATATACTTGTCTCATTTAAAGAATATCGGTAGTCAAAAATATCAGGGAAAAAGAATCACAACTTTCATTTATACAGAATGATTTATAAGTTTTATTTACCCACAGAACCTATTGTTCAAATAAAAAACTTATGTGGTAACCCACACAAACTAGAGCCGCTATAAATAGAGAAAGGACGGGGAAAGAGATGGGAGTTTCATTCCACTTGTGATATCGTCTTACAACTCCCCCAACACAGCCGCTGAGAGATCTCTGAAGGGAAACTGTGTGTGTGTGTGTGTGTGTGTGTGTGTGTGTGTGTTGGGAATCTTCAGAACACAGTTTTACACAGTTCAAAAACCATCGATAAAGGACTCAGGACAAGTTGTCGATGAACATTCTTACAAAAGTTTCAAGGGCAGAACTTACCAAAACTATGTTAGTTCAATCTCAGACAATTTTCCAGACTTTGTAATAAAATGAATTAGATTGGTTAAACAGAATACTTGACCCACCAAGCATCACCCACAAAGAGGTATATCAATTCCCAAACTGGGAATTTAGGTTCTCTGAGATAACATGTTTACAAATCAAGCATATAGAAGCGGTGGTAGTCAGGATAACTGTGTTGACTCTCTATAAAAAATAAATAAATAGGTAGGTAGGTAAGTATGTAGATTAGAGATAGACAGACAGACAGACAGACAGATCCACCAAGCTGCAACCTCTTTCTTGTTGCTGGAAATGGAATAGCTCTTAACCAAGAGAAGCTGTCTCTGGACTAATGAAAGGAGTCCCCCCATATACACTGAACATGAATAAATGAACTAATTTAGCTGAGGAAACCCAGGGAACAGTGTGTGGATGGAAATTCTGCCCAAGCAGAATTCGATTCTATCTCCCTGCAGGGTTGTATTATGTCTTGTGGGCTTTAGGCACTTTTGCCTTCTTTGGCCCTTTCCTTCATACACACAAAAATTTTTATAAATTATGTTTTATTACTGTACTGGTGATAAACTAGATTATATATATATGTATTTTTTTTCCATATGATAGAAGAGATTTAAAACACTTCTGTAGGCTACTAAGTGTGGTGGGCTCTAGGCCTTGTGCCAAATGAATAAGTTGGCCCTGCCTCCTGATTCACCCTCTAGAGCACCCCCTGGTGGCCCCGAGCCCAGTCACACTGCAGCTATTTCCTCCTCATGGCCCTTAAGTCCTGCCTGTGGGGTCTCAGGAAATAGGACCAAAGAGAAAACTGAGCCGAGAAGTAGGGATGGAGACAGAAGAGAGATTTTGGATACCTGGAGGTTGTGAAGAGTACTCCAGAGGCAGGGCCCAAGGCCATGAGGCCCCTCCGCATCCTGGCCCCTCCCTCCCGCTCAAGTGCCCAGCAGGAAAGGGGCTGCCAGACTTGCTGAAAAGAAAGCAAGGGGGTCCTGGGAACTGGACACCATAAGCTCCAGAGACTCCATAATATGTTATTAATGCATAATTTCTTGTGCAATGTCTCAGTTTACAAAGCACGTTCACATCCAGTATCTGATAAGGCTCTGAAGGTTGAAAATGGATGGTTTACTCTGATGTCCAATTCCTCAGGAGAACATAGGATTTTGTAGCACTAGTTTACCTATGTTTTGTACCTTTGTATCAGAGTCTTCTGTAAGATTTTTGTAAAATATTCTTATTTTTATGCCAAAAAGAAAATGTATTTGCCTACTATTACTAACAGTAGCCATCTGCCAAGAGTGACATTATGTTTAGGCAGGGAGGAAGTCTCAAATTTACTTGCAATTGTAGAAAAGATCTTTAGTAACTGTGGTTACATCAAAAAATGCACACTCCACAAAATGCTTATATTTTAAACGCTAAAATGCACTGTGAAAAGAAATCCAAATTTTTAACATCTATGCAGCCCTGAGCAAGATACTGCAGCTGATTAAGGTAAGTGAAAACTAAAAATTTCAGAGCTACTAGGACTTTGTTTGATACTTAATGTCTATCTATCTATCTACTTTTTACGCAAAGACTTCAGACTTTTGGAAATAAAGGCTAACAAAAAGTGACACAATACTTCTCAACTTTTGCATAAAGGAAATCACCTCTATTGAAAGGGGGTTTTGATGGCCCTCAGCTGGCCGATTACATCTGGCAATATTCTAAGAATAAGATTCTGATCTAATAGATGTCATAGTTATAGCAAAAAAAAAGATGACCTCTATGGATTAAGAAGAGCAAACCATACACCAATCATGCGGGAACCTGTTCTTAGCATGGGATCAAGGGCAGGAAATAGATGTTCTGTTGCTGAACCATTGACCGTTGGAACAAGACTCTGAAGGGAGTCTGTGCGATCACACATTGGAGGTTGTGTGGCTAGTGCTCGAGGTCGGGTTCTAAAATAGCCAGACTGAACTCTGATTCACTGCGGAATAGATATGAGACCCTATAAACTTCAGTTTCTACATCACCCGTAAAATGTGACTGATACTAGCATGTGCTTTCTATGGGGTGTTGAAAATATTAAGAAACTGCTTGTGAAACATTGAACACAGTACTGGGAATTTACTTCCTTCTTCACAAATGTCAGCTAATTTTATTATTTCACATTTACATATTCAGCTGTGTGTCTGCCTTGCTAACATTAAAAAAAAAGAAAAGCAGTCTAGGAGTGTAAATTTACTGATGCTTAAATAATCCAATTCATGTGACTGACTTAGCTGTGACAATTTTCTTAATGTACTCATGTGCAAAGAACCTACACAAGGCCAAGCTTACTTAGTTCGTGAATTACAGTACCTTGGTTTTGGTGAATCCATGTGGGATTTCTCACCTACAGAACTGTGAGTTAATAACAATTTGTTGTTTTAAGCCACTAAATTGGTGCTAATTTGTTACAGAAGCCATAGAAAACCAGTACAGATGATAACACCCCAAAACAATATTGAAAAAAGAACAAGGTTAGAAGACTTTTGTGTTTCGATTTTACAATTTAATATGAAGCTGCATAATTAAGACATGGATAAGGATAGACATGTAACAATGGAATAGAATTGAGAGCCTAAAAGTAACCTTCACATTTACGATCAGTTGATTTTTTTTATGTCATAACTTTTTATTTTTATTTTTTGAGATGATTATTTTATTCTTTAATGTCACCACATATTTGACCCCTTTTGACCCCATCTACAACAACTGGTTTTTAACAAGGGTGCCAAGACAATTCAATGGGGGAAAGAATGGTCTTTTCAACAAATGGTGTTGGTACAACTCGATTTCTTCTTGCATAAGAAGGAATTTGGATCCATATCTTACAGCATGTACAAAAATTAATTCATAATGGATCAAAGACTCTAAATGTAAGAGCTAAAACTGTATAATTCTTAAAAGAATGTAGGCGTAAATCTTTATTAGTTTGGATTAGACAATGGTTTATACTAAAAGCATAATCAATAAAAGAAAAAATAAATTGAACTTCATGAAAATTAACATTTGTGCTACAAAAGACACAATCAAGAAAGTGAAAAGACAATCTAAATGTGGGTGAAAATATTTGCAGTCATATATCTGATAAGGAACTTGTGTCCATAATTTAAAAAGAACTGTCACAACTCAACAATAAAAGGACAAATAACCCACTTTTAAAAAGAGCAAATGATTTAAAAAGACATTCTTCCAAAGAAGATATATAAGTGGCCAATAAGCACATAAAAATATATTCAAAATAATTAGTCATCAGGAGATGCAAATCAAAACCTCAATGAAATACTACTTCCCACCTACTTAGATGCCTGTAATAAAAA